TAAGGGTTAAAGCTGAAGGAAAATGAATGAATGAATAAAATATAGCAATTGCAGTGTTTTTGTCGTTTAATCATCTAATGTGCAAACCGTTACCTTTATGAGTTTGTCTGTTTATTTTGTCCAGCTGATGAAAGATGTCAACTGTACTGCCAGTCAAAAGAGACCGGAGACGTGGTGTCCATGAAGAGGATGGTGCACGATGGCACTCGCTGTTCCTACAAAGACCCCTACAGCGTGTGTGTGCGTGGAGAGTGTGAGGTAAAGGTTATTCAAACACACCCATCCCTCCAGTTCATCCTCCAAAATGCCATAGAATGAATAATATCAGGCCTAATCAGACTTCTTTCCACTTCTCACTGCCAGGTACGGTGTTGATTTACTAAAATCGAAAGGCCTGTGTTTTGATTTGTTCTGTTATGGCTGGAAAACATGACTGCGAAATTTGATTGACGAACTACATGCCGTGTTTTGCTACTGGAACTAAAAGATAAAGTGCATTCCAGGATGTATTGCTTTTTAATCTGAGAGGGATATGAATGTCTGGAAAACCATGGGTCTGAAAGTGAATTGGCACTCAGCAAGGGAAAGATTGTTTCCATGCATTTGTGTGCGTAAGAGTGTTTCCTAGGTGAACGTCTTACATTTATATTGATGTGTATTGTTTTTAATGCCAAATAGAGATACTGGTAGGGATTCGGATTGAGAAATGTTATACTAAAGGTGCTGTTTGTAAGGTTTTGACTCTTCTAAATAATAAAATATACCATGTTTGCAGATATTTAAGAAACGTGCTAAGTAAACGTACTTGTTTATCTGAAAAACAATACTAAAGTGAGTTATTCTTATTTGAAAATGTGTGTTCCATGTCGGAATATTCGACTTTGTTTTGGTGTGTGTAACTCTGACCACTGCCAGCTTACCCAGTCTTGAAGTATTGAAGACAGCCGAAAAATGCAAACACCTAAAAATATGCAGAGTTCTAAATATCCACATGATGATTTGAAAATATACATATTACAAGTATAACATACAATTATTAGCTTGTATGTAATTTGCTTGACAGTTTTTGACAACTAGTTTAATATTTTTGTATGTAATGGCTCAAGTAATGAAATACGGACTATTACATAAAATGTGGAATGACTATTCAGTTTTCACAAGTTTAGTTCATTTTGACTGACATAAGCAAATGATAATGTTATAAAACAGCAGAGAGTTGTAAGAAAGCATGTCCAAAAGCATTTGCAATTTTTTGGAAGGAATGAGAAACTGCTACTATCATGTGCACAAATGACTAATTGTTTTGAGAAATACAATAACTGTTGTGCAAATGTAAATACTGTTGTGAGAAATGCACCAAAGCCACTGAGAAAAACAAAATTGCACAAATAAAATCGTACATATTCATATGAATTAGCCACTAAATCAAAAAGTTAAGAATTACCTTGAGAACTTGTTGAAGAAACATGTTAATGACCTGTAATATTTTATTAATAGAATTTGTAATTTTATGAATATTTTACAAAAAACAGTGCGTGAAAATGTTAAATGTTCTGCAGTTTAGCATTAAGAGAGTTGTTATTTTGAGCAGATTTTACTAGAAAAATACTTAATTGTTAGCAACAATATGTAAACGCTTTTATAAATGTTTTGTAAGGCGGCACAGTGGTTCAGTGGTAAGCACTGTAATGTTACAACAATAAGGTCACTGATTCGAGTCCCGGCTACACCAGTTGGCATTTCTGTGTGGAGTTTGCACATTCTCCCCGTCTTCGTGTGGGTTTTTTTTTTCCAGGTGCTCAGATTTTCCCCACAGTCTAAAAACATGTGCTATAGGTGAATTGGATGAACTACATTGGTTGTAGTGTATAAGTGTGCGAGAGTGTGTTTCCCAGTAATGAGTTGCTGCTGGACGGGCATCTGCTGCATAAAACATATTCCAGAGTAGTTGGCGGTTCATTGCGCTGTGACAACTTCTGATAAATAAGAGACTAAGCCAAAATAAATGAACACATTTTGTAATTGTTATATTTATTAGATTGTTAAGATTCCATAACTATTTTTAGACCTTTATCGTAACCCATGAATAGAGAAGTCACATGTGGTCTAAGAGAGCAATCTCTCCACTTGTGTTAATTAATTTGAAAGTCAGAAAGATGTAATCCTAAAACATCAATGATCAAGCCATGTTTTTTTTTAATTTCTCTGCTCTTGGTCTTGATGTGCTCAACTTTGCACTCACATCTGCACTTATAGGATTCTCGATGTCATGCTCATTTGACCTGTTTAGTAAATCTGTCTTTAAGTTCCAGCAAAGAAGGTTGTATAAAACAGCACTTCTGTGAATCTGCTCAGCTTATCTAAGATCAGCCCTTAGGCTGGATCTATGTCTCTGTATCTTCTTGGTTCTCTTAAATCCTGCTCTCTGCACAGAAAGTGGGCTGTGACAACGTTATCGCCTCGGAGCTGGAGGATGATAAGTGTGGTGTGTGTGGAGGAGACAACTCCACCTGCAAGATTGTCAAAGGAAACTTCACCCGCAGTACCAGGAAACCAGGTGAGATTTTGCCAACTTTGCAAACTCAATGAGCATGTCTGCATACATGACCTTTGCAGTTTACTCACAAACAGGAGCATCACTAAAGGGCAGAAAGAAGTGATGATTCTATGGCCCTTGGCAATTTTAATTAGATTAGATATTTTTTAGATTAGATTCAACTTTATTGTCATTACACATGTACAAGTACAATGCAACGAAATGCAATTGAGTTTCAACCTCAAAGAACCAGGGCCTGTACCGTGTGCCTGAATACCCAGACTACCCCCTTAGAAATTTCTAAAAACTCTGAAATCAAAAATTATTTTCTAGACAAGTAAAAAATATTGAACAAAAAATGCCAAAATTACAATATACACTCACCGGTCACTTTATTGGGAACACCTGCCCAACTGCTTGTTAATGCACATTTCTAATGAGCCAATCACATGTAGACATGATCAAGACAATCTGCTGCAGTTCAAACCAGGATCAGAATGGGGAAGAAAGGTGGTCTTAGTGACTTTGGGTGTGGCATGGTGGTTGGTGCCAGACAGGCTGGTCTGAGTATTTCAGAAACTGCTGATCTACTGGGATTTTCACAGACCACCCTCTCTAGGGTTTGCAGAGGCGGATGGGCTACAGCAGCAGAAGATCACACAGGGTGCCATTCCTGTCATCTAAAAGCAGGCAACTGAGGCTACAATTCACACAAGCTTTCCAAAATCCGACAATAGAAGATTGGAAAAACGTTTCTTGGTCTGATGAGTCTCGATTTCTGCTGTGAAATTTGCATGGTAGCGTCAGACTTTGTTGTCAATAACATGAAAGCAAGGATCCATCCTACCTTGTATCAACACTTCAGGCTGGCGGTAGTGGTGTAATGGTGTGGGCGATATTTTCTTGGCACACTTTGGGCCATGATCACTAATTGACCATTGTGTCAATGCCACAGCCTACCTGACCATGTCCATCCCTTTATGAGCACAGTGTACCCATCTTCTGATGGCTACTTCCAGCAGGATAACGCGACATGTCATAAAGCATGAATCATCTCAGACTGGTTTCTTAAACATGTCAAAGAGTTCACTGTACTTAAATGGCCTCCACATTCACCAGATCTTGATCCAATAGAGCACCTTTGGGATGTGGTGGAACAAATCAAATGGTGCTGACAAATCTGCAGCATCTGTGTGATGCTATCATGTCAATATGGACCAAAATCTTTAAGGAATATTTTCAGTACCTTGTTGAAACTATGCCACAAACGATTAAGGCAGTTCTAAAGGCAAAATGGGTCAACCTGGTACCAGTAAGGTGTACCTAATAAAGTGACCAGTGAGTGTATTCAAATGACGTGAAACTTTATAATTGTAAGCCCTCTGGTCCTAATTCTTGAACTCCAGCATGGGACGCAGGTGCATTCACAAGGATGCTGAAAACCATCTTAGTCATGGCACTAGTATAACCCCACTGATTCAACTTGGGCCGTGATGAATGGGTTAGGAACCAGAAAATTTCTTAAAGGGACAGTTTGCCTAAAAATAAACTTTTTAAAACTGAAAATCATTTACTCACCCTTTACTTGTTCCTAATTTGACCTTTCTTCTGTTGAAAACAAAATAAAATAATTTGAAGAATGCTGAAAACCTGTAACCCCTGCCTTATGGTGACCTACTGTGGAATTCTATGATTACAGGTTTTCAGCTTTCTTCAATGTATATCATTCAGTGTTTGACAAAAGAAAAAAAAAACTTTTGAAGATTTCTAAACCACTTTTGAGTGAGTAAAAAGTGAGTGCATTTCATTTTTTGGTTGAACCATTCCCTCTTTCTAGCTGGGCTCAAATACAGTCATCCTCTCAATCCAAACTGGGTAATGGCACCAACACAAGGTTCTACTTGCAATTACATTTAAATGCACCTTAATAGTCTGACCATAAGTGGATGCTGGCATGATTGTGATTAAAATTTACCACATGTAAATACAGCCTTTAATCTCAGTCTCTGATGTACCTGCTGACATCAGGGGTGAGAGGATTACCTGCACAGCTCTTACTAGCAGGTCTCTAATACACCCCTCAATCTCAGGTGCTGTTTTTGTTTGAAAATGCATATTTGTTAAGGTGCATGGTGTTCTCTCTACTCCAGCATCTTCAACCTATGAAAACTGTTATGACTACTCAAATGAGGTCATTTTAAGATTGGAAATGCTGGTGTTCCAGTTCAGTGTAGACAGACTGAAATAGACATGTTTCGCTAGATTGGTCTTCTGGACTATTGGGTATTGTTCCCTGATTCATCAACCTCCGACCATTACTACTACCATGACCATAACACAAACAGTAGACTCCTAATACAAAATATGACCATTGAGTGTGAATGGTCAGGTTTCCTCGTTTTAGGCTGTATAGTATGAATGGAGATCATTTTTGAACCACAGTAAAAACAGCAGTCTGGATGAGGAGCATCTTTATTCTAAAATGTTGTTTTAAAAAAAGTAAATGCACTAGTGCAGTGGTTCTCAGACTTTTTTCACCAATTACTACCTCAGAAAAAAAATTGTCTCTCCAAGTACCGCCATAATGAGCAGTATTGAAAAACAGTAGCTTAGTAGGCCTAATTAAGCATCTACAGCACAGTTAAAAAAAGGCAGATTAATTCCTATTAAGTATATGTATAATTGTCAGCCACTTCAAACATTATAGTTTGAACATTAACATCAACGTTTAAATTAAAATGTGCTTTTAAAAGTTAATTAAAAAATGGTGCTGTTCTTAAAAAGCAAAAAGAAAACTGCTGTACTTTAATGTAAAGTATTAACATAAATTAGCAGCCCATTCATTAAAACCTGGACATTCATTAATTCATTTTCTTTTCGGCTTAGTCCCTTTATTAATCTGGGGTTGCCACAGCGTAATAAACCACCAACTTATCCAGCAAATGTTTTTACACAGTGGATGCCCTTCCAGCCGCAACCCATCACTGGGAAACACTCACACACTCTCCTTCACACACATACTCTACGGACAATTTTAGCATGCCCAATTCACCTGTCCCACATGTCTTTGGACTTTTGGGAGAAACCAATGCATCTGGAGGAAACCCACGCGAACACGGAGAACATGCAAACTCCACACAGAAATGCCAACTGACCCAGCCGAGGCTCGAACCAGCCGTCTTCTTGCTGTGAGGCGACAGCACTACCTACTGCACCACCGCGTTGCCCATGTCATATTCATATTTATAAAAGTTTTGATACATTTTGAAATATATGTTGCATGTACATATAACATATTTGTAAAACTTTTTGAAATCTAAACATTAACTTGTATGTAGATTGCTAGGGAACCCGTTTTTCTCAGACAATGTCAAGCTGACCAAGCATTGCTGCAGTCTGATACAAGTTTTGTTAAGGAAGAAAATTTAAAAGCACTGCAGTATTTGAGTGTTCTGTGTTTGTCTGAACTAATAAGTCTAACAAAATTATATTCCATACAAAATATAAAGCTGATTGGTCGGTTCTTGTAACGTGACTCGCGGTGCAGCATTCTGAAAAGTAAAAGTGTTTTCAACTGGGTACGTCTAGAATACGTGAGCATGTCGCGCTGCTTACGCCTTCATCATAAATAATGAACTTGCATGTGGAAAAGACACAATATGTGAACAGCAGCCATCATTTGTGATCTACAGAAGTCGTTCTTCTTGGACAGACATCCTGGAATCACCTGATTTGTTGACAAATGGGTTGCGGATCCATTCGTTGGCAGTTCTTACTCATTTTGCTAGCCTGTGGGTTAAATTTTGGCGCTCAGGTGGTTGAATTTTTTTAAAATAATATATTATTCAAAATAAAACATTGTTCAGACTCAGTTAATAAATAAAACAAAACAAAAAAATTATGTTTTTTTTTTTGTACAGCCCGGTACCGATTGATCCACAGTGGTTGGGAACCACTGCTCTAGTACATATCTGCTCTGCCTCTTTCTCTAGTTCTGTGTCAATTAGATTGATTTTTAGCAGTTGATGACACGATGCACTAAAGCAGAGGTCGGAAACCTTTTTTCAGCAAAGAGCCATTTCCACATTACAGATTTAAACCAAACCGTTATGTCCATGCACAACTCAAAAATAAACAAATATAAGTCTATTAATAAAAATCTATATAATTAATAGAACAATTAATTAATAGAATTTTTAAAAAATAAAATTAATAGAATTTTTTCTTTTCACAATCATCACTTATGAATGTTGTGTGAATTTACATGCGCAAGGTTAGCATAAAAATATAAGTTGTTTGCCCTCTATTGGTGTCACGATTCATGTTTATCCACAGTGCCGCACACGTGGATTAGTTGAAACATCCTTTTATTGTAAATAATTTCTTATTCATCTTGCTGTAAAAAAAATTAAATAAAAATTACAGTTAAAAGGAATTATATTTGTATTTTCACAACTTTCGGATTTCTATTGGCAGTTATAGTTTTTTAAACGGCAAAATATTATTAAAGAGAGCCAGCTGGAGAGCCACATATTTTTATTCAAAGAGCCACATGTGGCACGTGAGCCATAGGTTTCCTACCACTGAACTAAAGTAAACGTTCTAAGCACAGCGCTTTGATCGTAGGCTTTAGAGAACAAACAATGCTGATGACATCGGTGTTATCGTACGAATTAAATCATTAAAATTGTATTAATTTTTTCTTTCATTACTCAGCTATTCCTCCGCGTACCATTAAAAGTAAGCACACATACCACTAGTGTCACAAGTAGCAGTTTAAGACCCACTGCACTAGTGTAAATACAACCTCAGTCCTTCTTGAATCTCAGCACCAACTCATTCAGATCTAATAAAACATTATTTAGATTGTTATTTCCAGCATTAGAGGCTAGTGCTCTAACAAAGCTGGGAAAGACTGCAGTTTCTCACATAAGTCACTAGTGTACCTCCTCTCCTAAGGTCAGGAGAGTGAGATTTACCTGCTTTTCTTTTGATATATTGCTTTTGATACATAATAATAGTCAATGTCTTAAAAGATTTACTCGAACATTCATTCATTTTTATTGTTGTAATTTCATTCCTAGGCTTTCTGAAGATCTTGGAGATTCCCAGAGGAGCGCGCCACATACAGATCCACGAATTCAAAGGAACGCCACATATTTTAGGTAGAGCGCTTTGTCAGCAAACGCCTGTGTGATTAATTACTCTGACACTGACCCTCATAATTCATCCATCTGGCCGCCCACGGTTTGCTATTGATGGAGAGGTTTGGTCTCTTTCTGGCACTGAGAACATTAGGAGCTCCAGCTCAGTGACTGTGAAGCACCTTAGACTCTTAGAAGTAATGCCTTCCAATACTATGATTTACAGGCACATTACATGCATATAAAATAAGGTTGATGAAGATTGATTCTTGCGTGAATAGGACTGCATGGAGATTGTCTTAATTTTAAATTGTCTTCTGATAGCGGTGAAGAACCAGGCCACAGATCATCTCTTCTTAAATGACGAGGGTGATTTTCCTGAGTCACGCACAGTAATTGAGAAAGGTGTGGCATGGGAGTACACAAACAATGACGACATGGAGACGGTCCAGACCACCGGACCACTCAGATATGGAGTTCTGATCATGGTAAGCACATTTCAGCTACAATTTGTAAATCTGATAACTACAAACCCAAAACTAAGCACCCGAGGCTAAAAAAGACTCTACAGCTAGAAGTGCATTTCTAAATACTATTAGTTGGCTAAGAGTTGAGTTAAACGGCCACAAAACCTCCCTGCCTCAGCAGTGTTTTCACACCTCTAGTAAAACGTCAGGAAAGTGGGTGTGTCTAGCTCTATTTAGGTGGAAGTACTGGGGAGGGAACAAGGGAAGGTTTTGCATAAAAATGTGAGTTTCCATTTGGGCACGTGCTGATTTTCACAGAGGCAAAACAAACACATATGCAGTGAAAAAGACAGCAACTGTTTACATGGACATCAGTAATCAAATTATTTGCCAAATTATTAGTTTGTCGACTTTAACTGCAGTTTGGCACTTTCACTTTCATTCAGGAACATGTCATGCATGACCCCCGTGAAAAATGGGATATTGGATGCGAGGAACTGCTGGAAAAGTGTAGTTTTAATGGAATGTTTGATACTGCACGGTAAATGGGAGAGAAAAAAAACTCAGCATTTTTCTGTAACTTAGATACACAATTGGTGTAATGACAACTCTGAGGGATGTGGATCCATTTGCAAGCTTTTATTAAAACACAGCAACACAACACAGAGAATATGACAGCCAAGGACAAACAGTATAAACTCAAGAACGGTAATTTGGGCTTTGGTCAGGGCAGGCAGCTTACACTCAGAAACGGTGATACGGGCTTTGGTCAGGGCAGGCCTTATGTAAATGGTTACACTAATCGAGTTAAAATATTATCATTAAAGTTGAATCCAATGTACAAAATAAGGTAAACTTGACTGAGTGCTTCATTTCCCCTTTAATAGGAAATGAGTTGTTTAAAATAAAACACGCAGGACATCCGGGCATGTTTACATATTAAGTGTATTTGTCTGTTAAACACACACCCGAATCTCAAATTGTCCTACACTTTAGCTCCTCTTTAAATGGCGTGTATAGCTGTTCTGGGAGTCAGTCAGTGCTTATACATGCATTCACTGATTCAGAGGTTTCAGCGCTGGTTGAAGCTCCACTTTAATTGAAAGAAAGTGAATTAAGACATTTTATATTAATTTCAACATGCTTTCAAGATTAAAAATATGAGAGAAATATGGGAAAATACCTAATAATAGGACATAATGTTAAAATATGGGGCAATCTTGGCAAAAACAGGGTTTTCATGTATGAAGTGAAGTATTTGTCAAACAACATATTTGCAAGATAACGCAAAACATGTTTGCGAGGGAACGCAAAAACTTTCAACAATATGTTAACCTATAGCTCTGTTTTTTTTCTCCCACCCATTTTTTTTTTCTCCACCATCACGTCCCTTCCGGGTCTTCGTAGTTTCCATCCAATGAGTCAAAGAAAACAAAACTGTCAATTGCTGATAAACTGAAGCCAACATCAAAAAGAAAAATGGAATTTGCTGTGGTTGGAGAAGCCACTGTGGGCCTTTTTGTTCAAAATAAATTACTCGCCTCAGAAGATGAAAACGAAATCCAATGAACGTGCAGTGGACCAAAACAGCATTACAGATGTTTTACAATGTGGTCGGGGGTCTGCTGGTTTGTTCATTAATGCTGTCCCATCACACAGATTTTTTGTTATCACAAGACCTGTTAAAACAAAATCACATGACTTTTTTTATGTGCAGGCTGGAATTTATTCAGTAAATGTGTTTCCATCATATTTTATGCGCATGTTCTCTCATCAGATAAAAAGTTTATCTTACTTAGCTTTTTAAGTTTGCAAATCCTACTTTTAACCACTCATTTTTTATGTGCATTTTCAAAATGTATGTGCTTCTATTAAGCATTGTTTTATGCAATCTTCCAAAAACCACATAAATGTATGTCCTTTGAAAAAGCATAAGAATATTTTCTTTCATAAAACAACTGTTTGGGGTATCCTAAAGTCACTGCAGTTTACACATTGGTCTCAAAAGATTGGTCACTGGTGGTCAGACATTATGCAATTTTTCACTTGGAAGAATGAAATAACTTGAAATAACCCTTGCCTTGTAAATTGCTCTCTCAATGGCTGTAGGTTGTTACCTATTACGTTTCCAGTCAAAACTAATTTCAGACTATTAGACCGATATTTGCTGGCTAAATTATAACCAGAAATGAATTGTCACTTCTTTCAGATTTGTCTTTATTCATTTAAAATATGCAGTCATGACTAGCAAGCACCAATATTTTGGTATCTTTGTCTGCAATCTCTGGATAAATGTGGTGGAAAATAGGGTGAAAATCAGGCATTAAATCATTTACACCACCTAACAAAAGTCTTATTGCCTATCCAGTTTTAAGGAACAACAAATAATAACCTGACTTCTAGTTGATCATTTGGTATCAGAAGTGGCTAATATGAGAGTCAAAGACCTCTAGATTACGTTTATTTTACCTAAATAAAATATAACCATGCCTTGATTTTAATTATTTAATTAGGACAGTAAGGTCTGACTTTGCTTAGACAAAAGTCTTGTCATTAAACAGAAATAATGTACAGTATAGAATATAAAGTCATAGTGCTGTGGAAAAAGAATGAATATTGTGTATGACTCCCATGATCTTGGAGGACTGCATCCATACATCTCTGCAATGACTCAAATAAATTATTAATAAAGTCATCTGGAATGGCAAAAAAAAAAACAATTCTTACAGGACTCTCAGAGTTCATCAATATTCTTTGGACTCATCTTCTATGCCTCCTATTTCATCTTAACCCAGAAATGCTCAATAATGTTCATGTCTGGTGTCTAAGCTGGCCAATCCTGGAGCACCTTGACCTCCTTTGCTTTCAGGAACTTTAATGTAAAGGCTAAAATATAAGGAGGAGTGCTATCCTGCTAAAGAATTTGCCCTCTCCTGTGGTTTGTAATGTAATGGGCAGCGCACATGTCTTGATACCTTAGGCTGTTGATGTTGCAATCCATTCTGCAGATCTCTCACACACCCCCATACCGAATACAACCCCAAACCATGATTTTTCCTTTACTAAACTTGACTGATTTCTATGAGAATCTTGTGTCCATGCTGGTTCCATTAGGTTTTCAGCAGTATTTGTGATGATTGGGATGCTGTTCAACAGATAATTCATCTAAAAAAACTACCTTCTGCCACTTTTTCAAATTCTTCAAACTAGAAGTCAAGTTATTATTTGTTGCTCTTACAACTGGGATCGACAACAAGACTTTTGTCAGGTAGTATAGTGTATACCTGATATAAGTAAGTTAAATCACAAATTGTGTGTTACCAATTCAGCTAGTAAATAAAATGCATCTATAGTAAGTTATTAAACATTATTAAACATCTTCTTCAGGTTCAGTCTCACAGCATTTCTAAAGTCACAATCTCATACAAATACATCCTGCCAGAGGACCCGCTCTCATCAATGGAGAACACCCTGCCTCAGGACGACACAATTTACTTCGAGTGGGCTCTCAGGAAGTGGTCGCACTGTTCCAAGCCATGTGGCGGAGGTACATGAAAATATTTAAAAACTGTGGCTAATGCCGCCTACTATTAAGTAGTTGCTGCATTTGAATTTAAACGTACTACTTGGTCGTTAGAAAAGTATGTTGTATACATTATGAATGTGGGAAGTATGAACGGAATTCAGACGTACAACATCTGCCATTTTGTCCTAATCACCTGACCTACCGTCGTGAGTTTCGTTGCTTTACTATGATTCATGAATTCTCTCGCGGGGCATCATGGGATAGCACAGCATGCATAGGATGCGCACTTCAGAATCTCTCCGGAAGTAGTTGGTCATGCGGGTACGTCTCGCATACTGATTTTCAAATTCTATGACAAGGGTGGCCAACCCTCTTCTTGGAGAGCCACCTTCCTGCAGATTTCAGTTGCTACCCATGTCAAACACACCTGAACCAATTAATTAGGACCTGAACACCACGTGATAATTACAGGCAGGTGAGTATGATATGGGTTGCAGCTGAAATCTGCAGGAAGGTGACTCTCCAGGAACAGGGTTGGCCACCCCTGTTCTATGAATTCGGACATATTACTTGGCTCCAGACTAATTTTAGCGTACTATATAGTATGGAAGTATGCGGTTTCAGACGCAGCCTGTATCCTTCTTTTTAAAATTTAATCTAATTTTATTGAATTGATCAAGTCCAACACTATCGTGAATTAATATTTAGCATGAAATGAGCATTCAATACTTGAGGAGTCATTTAAAACATTGATTTAAACCATTTTTCACAATTGGCATATGTAATGTAGAAAATGGTTTTATAGTTTGTGGTTGTTCAAAGTAAATGTATTTTTTTATTTTACAAATTATATGAAACCATCTATTAAAACTACTGAAATATTAAAAACTATTAATACTAAAAACATTGTTTATGTATTATTTGTTGCATTCTGTATTCTGTATGTCAATTCAAATTGAGGAACATATAATCAATAGTTTAATTCCGAATTCAATATAGTATGGCTCACTACTCTGACAGACATGAGATTTCAGTGGAACTTGGACAAACTGTAGAAGACAACAGCTTGTATCGTGGTTTTGTCTGTTTATCTGGCTTGTAGGGAAACAGTACACACGTTTTGGATGCCGAAGGAAGTCGGATGGCAAAATGGTACACCGCACTCTCTGCGCCAACATACCCAAACCTCGTGCCATCAGCCGAGCCTGCAACCAGAAGGAGTGCTCAGAACCAATGTAAGCAAATGAGGTTCACCATATGCTCGTTTTCAAACCAATCTCATACCGTTGTGCTTAAACACATCTTTGATGTCTAACTGAGTGATGGATGATGGTTTAAGGGCATGACTGCTTTAGTGGATAATGTTTTTTAAATGTGTGTTGTGTACAGCTGGGTGACAGGAGAATGGGAGGAGTGCAGTAAATCTTGTGGTAAGACAGGTTCACAGACTCGACCTGTGCGCTGTGTGAGACCTGAACTGGATGGTTCATACAAAGCCATCAATGCTAAATATTGCAATGATGACCGGCCTGAGGGGCGAAGGCCCTGCAATCGTCAACTATGCCCTGCTCATTGGAGAACTGGACCTTGGTCTCAGGTATGACAGAGAGTGACAGTGAAAAAATCTCAGTATCAGATATCTTATTTTTAAGAGTCTCTATTGTTTATTTTAGATTACCTTTTCTGTCTGACAATTGCTCAACGTTTTACACAAAAAACATATCACTATCATGTCTTAGCAGGTTGTTGGCATGTGTGTCATAATGATTAATGCTTGTTTCTAGCATGTTTGCAATTTGTTAACAAGTATTAATGAGCTACGAACATATGTTTAGTAAGTTTTTAGCATTAATTAGCATGTTGGTAACATGTTCATAACCTGTTTAGCATTCATAGTTTATCAATATGGCACATTGACTTATTAGCATTTGACTTTATTAGCTGTTTACAGCATGTTTTAAACACGATTTAGCACATATTAAATAAATGAATAAGCATGTTGTCAACATGATGTTACACAAATTAGCATATTGTTAACTTTGTAACATGTTTAGCATTTTGTAGTATGATTCCTGAGATGTTGTTACCATGTTTAGCATACTGCTTGCATAAATTAGCAAATGGCTAGCACGATTTTGCTTTTGCTCTCTTGTTCTTGTTTTGTTTGTTTGTTTTTCCTTTCAAAGTTAGTTACTTTTTGTAAGAGTATTACCAGTTTAATGTATCAACCAGCCATTATTCTCATAATTTAAGATTGTCGATACTACATTCTTGTTTACATTCTGTCATTTGTTTCTGTATGTTGTGTATGGATGTGCAGTGCTCGGTCAGCTGTGGTAATGGCACTCAGGAGCGGCAGGTCATGTGCAGCACCCCTGATAATGCCATAGGCATCTGCATGGACACCAAACCTCAGAGTGTCAGATCTTGTCTGCCAGCACCATGTCCAAGTAAGTTTCCAATGCAATCTACAATATAAATATCTCCACAAAATTCACTTCTGACATGTTCAACTCCTTAAATTTAAGCTTTTATGTGACTGCTTTGGAATTTGCTAGGTCATAATATTCTGTCATATATCACTGCGTATAAATTATTTTTACATAAACTCACTTCTGATGTGTGTTGACTCAATCTTTAGGCATTATTCACATTGTGTATGGATGGCCCACTTCACGCTACAGCTAAAATCAGTCACTTGTTTACCCAGTTACTATTTTCAAAATAGGGAAAGGCACATAGAGGGGAAAAAAACAATTCAGGCGATTTCCATTGCAGTAAATAAAGTTTGTTTTTACCGAAGTGTCACTCAAACTGCTGCAGCTTGCAATGTCTACTTTAGTCCAACAGAAAAATTTAATCATATGCAATTAAAGTCCATACAACTTATTGGAGCCATCTGATCCTAAGGTGATATAAAAAAAAATGGTTAAATCTACAAATAAACAAACAAAAATAAAATAAACAAAATCAGCTATTGGAAGTTTACAAAAAGGGGCGGAGCTGCTCAATGTGTCCTACCCTGTCTTCTTTTTTTTAATTTTTTTATTACATCAACACATTGACTAAAGGCCCGTTCACAACAAGAATGATAAATGTAAAGATAGCAATAAAGATACAGTTCTAAAAACTGTTCACAGTATTAAAGAAAAACATGGTTCACACCACAACTACAATGATAAAGATACAGAGGAACGATATCTTTGGGATCACTTTCAGAGAGTTTTTTCCCAGCTAATGGACAATAAAACACTGACAGCCGGTCAGAATCCATTGAGAATTAAAAGGGTTTGCGCAATTTAAAGATACAGACGACACTGTCGAGAAGCACACTCCTTGATATTAGGCCCTTAGTTAAAAGATTATTTAAAGATAATGACTATCTTGGAAACAATTGGTTATACCATGGGAAATAATGATAAAACAATACTTGGATGTTCTGAAGTATGCTGGCAAAATTAAGTGTACAAGTTAAAAATACAGCAGGAAAAAGTGCTAGTTTCAGTGGCTGTGTCCAAAATCGCATGCTTCCATACTATATATTATTGCTAAAAACAGTATGCAAGCCAAGTAGTATGTCTGAATTCATAGCGTACCCAGATGACCTACTACTTCAGGCAAGATTCTAAAGTGCGCATCCAATGAACCATTCGCTATCCCATGATGTGGGATTCCATGATGAGTGAATTTACGCGACTGACGCTGATAGGTAACCATGCAGTTGGCAGATGTAGTCCGTCCGAGTTCCATTCATACTACTCACATTCATGCTGTAAAAAATGTACTTTTCTATCAGTCGAGTAGTAAGTTCACATACAGTACCTACGGAGTTGTAGGCGATTTCGGACGCAGCCAGTGTCTTTGTGTTGCCTGCTTTGAAAATGCTAGTGAACTGATTACGATTGCTGAATTCACTGTTTGATTAGATTGATTACATGTCAGAAGCTCATAAGTATGTTCAGATGCTGTAGTAGCACACTGAGGACACCTGATGGTAAGAGATAATGCTGAATTTACAGCATAACCTAAAAATAAACAGATCATTATCAGTCTTCTGTGTGGACACAAATATATTTATCATTACTGTATATTTATATGTATCATTATCATGCTTCGTGTGAATAGGCCTTAAAGGTGCAGTATTTAAGTTTGACACTCAGTGGTTGAACTAGGTATTGCACCCCTGGTACAAAACACATGCAAGCGCAGGTTGCCAGATTGACAGCTTGCCTGACTATTGAGCATAAAAGCTGATTTAAGTCGTGTTCTACATAAAAGCAACATCATGCAATAGAACGAAGATTTCCCATACTAAAACGATTTGTGATTCGGGCATAAAGAAATCTCTGAAGGATGAGTAAATAATGACCAATTTTTCACTTTATTTGGCTCAACTAACACTTTAAATCATCTCTCTCTCCCCCAAACTCACAGATGACAGAGGCAACTTCCTGATCCAGTGGCTCTCCAGAGCAGACCCAGAGTTCCCGGCACCAAAGATCTCCTCAAGTAAACGTCCCGTTTCCAGTCATCAGCCTGCCGTGTGCTGCATGGCCGCTCGCTTCTGGACCCTGCCTCTGTCTCTTACGCTATGGCTCTGTTACACTCTGTCCTGACCGCTTCTCTGTCCTTCTCAGAGTCTTAACTTTCCCTTCATCCAAGGGAATTCTGTGGGCTATTTCTTTCCTCTGCCCTTGTTGGCTCTTCTGCAGGGCTGAGGGCTAAACGCGGCCTGAAAGTGCATTGAAAGGGGGCAGTATAGGTGCCTGTGAAGAAGAGGCCTTGTTTTGAGAAGCTGTGACGGTTGTGCTACGTCAGGTAATATGGATATGACTGTTGTGACGATTTCCAGGGTGAAAATCACTCAGTGACACAAACTCCTCTGGGAAGGTACCATTGTGGTACCATTGGAGCATTTAGTGAGTTTGTTCCCCAAATAATTATACAATATAAAATAATATATCACTAAAATAACAATGTGAGCCATAACCCTTATTTATTTTCCCTGTCAAATGTCATGTATTTTTGTATGTATTTTCGTCAAAAATGCTATATATATATAGAAGGAATTATGAAAAGCGACTTTTACAGAGATGTTTTATTTATCTTACCCTCTTTTTTTTTGTACTTGTTGATTTGAAACGATCAGATGGTGCACGTTTCAACACATTTCACTGTATAGATCTATTGTGTGTCAGTGGTTGACGTATTATCGAAGGATAAAAATACCTCATGCTCCTGCTTTATTGATTTAAAACTCACGTTAGATATTTTTGCCTTATTTTAGGTTGAAGGAACGTAAGTTTAAGTTGCATGGCCACCAAGTTTTCAAAAGAGGCAGCTAAGGTAAAGAACCACAGTGAATATGGATGTTTACAGCCTAGCGAGTGTAATCTTATTACGGTTATATCACGATTGTAAGTCTGTGGAAGGATGAAGCTTTAGCGATGCAGATTCAGTCTAAGGGCCTTTTTTTAAACCATACAGCAAGTATGTGTACATATTACATGATGTTGAATATACTTAGTAAACTTAACGACATATTTAATGACTGTTATCTCTTACACCAGTAACGAAAGTAATATACTATATTTATCTATGTATTTTGACCTTACTGGCCATGATTCCTTGCCTGGAAGGTAATGAATTAAGATATGTAAACAGTGTATATCATGATGAACAGAGTATTATAATGTGTGTGGGTGTGTGTGTGTGTGTACTGGCTTTGGTGGTTTATGAGGACACACATTTACATAAATACATAGGTATGACCTTTGTATTACAGTGTTGAAGTGGTTTATAAGGACTGCCTGGTGTTCTTGTAATTCAAAATGCTTAAAAATCATATTTAACTGGCTCTTTTGACATTTAAAATTTGTCATGTTTCATGTAAAGGTTGGGTTTAGGGGTAAGGGTAGGGTAAGGCTATATAATAAGCAGTTTTTATGTAAAAAATAAATTTACAGCTATGGAGAGTCCTCAACCAATGTGTGTGTGTGTGTCTTTGTGTGTGGGTGTATTATAAAGGGGAGTGTGTGTGAGAGAGGCCCTGATTCCTTGCCTAAGAGTAATGATTGGAGATATGTAAACAGTACCATGATTGGTTTATGAGGACACACATTTACATAATTACATAGATATGACCTTTGTATTACAGTGTTGAGGTGATTTATAAGGACTGTCTGGTGTCTTTGTAATTTTCAATGCTTAAAAATCCTATTTAACAGGGTCGTTTGACATTTAAAATTTGCCATTTATCCTGTAAAGGTTGTAAAGAGTGTAGGGGTAAGGATAGGGTAGGGCTATATAATAAGCAGTTTTTAAAGTATAAAATACATTTACAACTATGGAGAGTCCTCATAAACCGCTAAAATAAGGGTGTGTGTGCGTGTATATAATATAACGGTGAGTGTGTGTGAAAGAGGCCCTGATTCCTTGCCCAAAAGGTAATGATAAGTAAATAGTATCATGATGAACAAGAGTATTATAATGTGTGTGTGTGCACTGGTTTCGGTGGTTTATGAGGACACACATTTACATAAATACATAGGTATGACCTATAGGTATTACAGTGTTGAGGTGGTTTATAAGCACTGTCTGGTGTCCTTGTAATTGAAAATGTTTAAAAATTATATTTAACAGGGTTTTTTGACTTTAAAATTTGCCACATTTCCTGTAAAGATTGGGTTAGGGGTGAGGATAGGGTAGGGCTATAAAATAAGCAGTTTTTAAAGTATTAAATTACATTTACAGCTATGAAGAGTCCTCATAAACTGCTAAAAACAAATGTTTGCGTGTCTTTGTGTGTGCTTGTGTGTATTATAAAGGTGAGTGTGTGTGAAAGAAAGGTTATGTAATTTTTTAATAGGGTATGGCTGTTCTTCTAAGTAACTGAAATATATATATACAGTATAACAGGGTCCAGGTTAAAAATCCTTTATTTCAAAAGCTTTAAATTGAAAAGCACTAATGGTAGCATTTTCATTTCGTTCCAGCATGTTTCTGGAATTACATATTCAAAACATCCCGCATCTGGACACTTCAGTAATTAAAAACATAATTATTCGTTTGGTAAAGGAAGCATTTAATAGCCTTGTTTCTACTGAATGCTGTTCTTGTTGGTCTTTCTGTGAGGTTAAATCATGTTTTTAAATGTATTTCAGGCATTTCAGTTTTGTTATAAATATATTCTATTTTTTTTCAGTGGATTTGATGGTGTTGAGATGTTTACTAAACTGTGAATAGTGTGACACTTCGAAGCAGTTTACATTGTACTATGAAAAGTTGTATGTGTTGTCTTGTACACGCTCTATATTTGACAGGAAGTCTCTGTGTAACTAATGTGGTTCCTTGTCGGCAGTGTTAATGGGAATAAAGGGTCAAGTAATATACTCAATGCTTAAAACCTCTGACTTTGTGCTCTGTCATTTTAGGTTACTGTATTGCCAACACAATCTCACGGCAATTCGTAACTTTTTCATTTAGTGGCTAATTCGTATGAATTCGTACAATCTAATTCGTACAATTTAGTACGATTTGCTTATCCCCCAATGACGGTTGGGGTTAGGGGTGGGGTCAGGTGCCACACCTTCTTTTTTAAATCGTACCATTTCGTACGACTGAACTCGTACGAATTCGTACGAATCAGCCACTAAACTGGCAAAACGTAACATACTTGCGTTTTCTCATGAGATCAGGCTGGTATTGCTCAGGCTGGCTAACTGTCTTGTATGTCACCTTTCTTTCTGATTTCTTGCTTTCTGCTTTTTTCCACATTTATATATTATATTGTTACGTTACGTTACATTATATTATCCTACAGTTAGTTCCTTAGTTTTAATTTATTCATTCATTAATTTTCTTTAAGCTTAGTCCCTTTATTAATCAGGGGTCGCCACAGCGAAATGAACCACTAACTTGTCCGGCATATGTTTTACACAGCGGATGCCAATCCAGCCGCAACCCAACACTGGGAAATACCCATACCCTCTTGCATTTACACACAAACACTACGCCAATTTTGCTTATTTAATTCACCTTTGGCGCATGTCTTTGGACTGTGGGGGAAACCGGAGCACATGGAGGAAACCCACGCGAACTGTGGGAAAACATGCAAACTCCACACAGAAATGCCAATTGACCAATCTGAAGCTGGAACCAGTGACCGTCATGCTGTGAGGCAACCATGTTACCCACTGCGCCACCTTATCACCTCCTGATTTTTTTTAATAATATTTTCATTGTGTTTTATTACATTAAAGGAGACCTGTTATCCAAAAATCACTTATATGAGGGCTTTATACACAGTTGTGTGGCAACAGAATGTGAATATAGCCAGCTTCTAATGTTAAATAATAAAAGTAATTAACTATTTTTTATATATAATCACACTTTAAAAAAAAAAACAGTCTGCAGAAACACTTTTATTGACATTTTTATTTTGTACATGTCATCAGAGGGAGAAAGTCCTGCACATTAGTGAAGATCTCTTCCTTTATCATTAGCATCAATAGCCCTAAATGAGAGGCAGGTGTCTGCCATTAGAGTTTTTACGTGCTGAAAATAATGTAAGCGATTAAACACCATTTTGAGCGTGTGAGTCAAAGCGATATCACTAAAGGAACACCCTTGCTCTATTTTTAGATGTAAGGCTCATCGGGCTCAACAAAAAATCTATTTTCTCAACATTATCGCTTTAATCGGAATTATTGTTTGCACCTTTTGGTAGGTTTGCAAACGTGTACTTTTCATTGCGTCTACCTTAAACTTCAGCCGGTCGCATCACAGAAGCTCCCTGTGATCCTAACTAGATGCAGTTGGAAAAGTGCCTCATGTGCGTGTCTCTTCATTGTAAATAAAATAACAAACTTGCCTGCAAGCCGCACACCAGAAGCGCCTCTTTGCGTGGCGCGGCGCCTTGCATTTCTGGGTTTTGGACGTAAGTTTCTGTCAGGGTGCACGCGGCAGAGCTTCGGGTCGATGACTGGGCGCCGCGGGCGGACGCCGACTTGGGGCGCTGTTGTGTTTTCCCTGGTGGAGGCCTGTGTTTGGAGTTCTAGAATGCATGCACTGTGTGGAGCGACGATTCGGGACACTTCATGTTTCTGCTGCGTTTCATGTAAAGCAACATGCCCCTAAACAGCGAGCTGTGTACATACCCCCAACATGACACTTTTTAACAAATTATAATAAAAACATCTTAACTTTGTGTTGAACTGAACTTAAACTGGCACACTCAGAAGAACCATAATATTAATATTAAATCATAAAAAAGGGGTAAACTATGTGCCCTTTAAGGCAGAAAAAACAAAACACCCGCAAAGAAACTCAACACAAAGGACCATAAAAGCCTACTGCCAGGAAGTGTTATGATGATGCATAGGCATTTGTAGCCTCACCCTCCTTCAAAATGAGCACTATCTCATTTGAATTTAAAGCGACAATCCCCAAAACTGCATAATTTTGGTCAAAGTCCAAAAGAGGGAGTTTAAAGAGTTATAAAACATTATTTGTGTGTTTTTTTTAGCTGAAACTTCACATACACACTCTATGGACATCAGAGACTTATTATACATCTTGTAAAAAAAGGCAGAATAGGTCCCCTTTAATACTTATTAATACGTATTTGTTTCTTAACTTGACACATTTTGTATAACTTGTATTTGTTTTTAAATTTTCATTGATTTAAATAACTGCATTTTGTATAATTTTAGATTTTTTCTTTTATGTATTTGTGGCGGGGAAGGCGTGGTCGAAGGCCCTGGAACAGTGGAGAGTGGGTTAGGAAACTGGTGACTGGTAAGTGTCATTTAGAAATCATGATTAAGTCCTGTTTCTTCTTAGTGATTGGGTCGGAAAGATGCTTTTTAAGTGAGAAGAGGGGCTATTTTTGTACCCCTATCCCTTTTCCTTCCCCTTCAAATTTTACCCCTTAGAAATGTAACAGCACTGCAACACCTGCACACGTCATCATATGTCATCGCATATGTCATGACTGCTGTAGTCATTCCAGTTGCATTATTTTTTGGTATTTATCTTCAGGAAATCACTGAAGGCAATGATTTCATGTTATCATAACGATATAATGTGGCAATAGGATCGTGACTGCATTTACACCGTGGCTTGTATAAACTCAAGAAAACAACATTAACATTATATCAGACACTGTAAAAAGGTAATTCGCAGCCACTAGACTTTTCTAACAGGGCATTCGAGTCCCATCGAGTGACAGAATATTGTGGAACTGCTATACAGGAGTTATTAGGGATTATAGATAGCGAAAATTAGCGTTTTTTATTTCACCGTTTTTTTTTATTAAGGATGATGGTAAAACATGAGCACAGTTATGAATGTATTAAAACGTGCTTGTTTGTTGTAATAATTTGTAATAATGACAAAAATACTAATTTGTGCATCTGACTTCTGTGTGCAGCCATGCTGCCGTTGTAGATGGTGTATTCTGGAAAACTTTCGTACCCCTTTGTTTCAAGTGTGGTTCTGAAAAATCTCAGTTTTAAGGGCTATCTAGTTTTTCCCCTTAGCCCTACGCCTTCAAGCTAAAGAGAATTGGGACACACCCATTTTTTCACATGAGCGTGCAAAACGAGGAAAAGGGCTAAGGGGTAGAATTGGGATTAGGCCTAAAATATTTTGCTTACCTGAATCACCGATCCTGTCTTCTTCTACACGGGTTTTGGCACCAGTGTAATAAAGTTCTTCTAATATGAAGGAAGAAAAAGAAAAAGCATCTCTCCGACTCAATCACTGAAAAGAAACAGGTGTTAATCATGACTTCTGATTGACCCACTTACCACCCGCCAGTCTCCTAACCCGCTATCAACTGTTGTGGGGCTTTCCACCACACCTTCCCCACCAAGGTATTATTATATTATTATTTTAATACTGTTCTTTGTACAGTGGTATTTCTATGTTAAAAATAAAATTGGACATATTTACTTTTTTCGATTATCATTACTGTGTTGGCCTAAATTTCTATGTTAAAAATAAAATTGGACATATTTACTTTTTTCAATTATCATTACTGTGTTGGCCTAAATCTTGGCTAAGCCTTTTAAAATATTTATTAATTTCATTATTTTTATTTTTGTATTTACATCACTAACTATCTGTCAATGCTGCATGCTTACTGCACACTCTTTTATTACATTTTCTTATTCCGTTTTCAATCTTCTTACTCCATTTTTCTTCATAGTTATATGTATTACATGACGTGAGTAACTTCACACTGCTTTTCCTGTTGGATTTTCTCTCAGGGTCCCGCTGTAAAGGAGACAAATCTGTGTTCTGCCGAATGGAGGTGCTCAGTATGTACTGCTCCAACCCCGGCTACAGACAGATGTGCTGCAAGTCCTGCAGCGAGACCAACTACACCTCTCAATTCAACCTGACTCGACCCTGGACCTACACCACTGCTACCCCACCCAAAACTCCCATTCGCACCACACTGCTTTTCAGGACCTCACAGAAACCCAGCACAACAACCACTCCATCAATCAGCAGATGGACAGACATCAGTCCCACATCAGCAACCACCAAAACTCTAAAGCAAACGACAACAATCACTTTTACAACTGGAGCTTTCACCAAACATCCCGATTCATTTGACTATGAAGAGGAAAGCAGTGGGTCCTTCTATGAAGACGAAACATGGAGCTCAGTCTCAGAGTCTGAATCATCAGAGTTCATCTCATCGTCCTCCAAGCCTTGGTCAACAACTCCACAATATACAACTACACCTGAAAATGAAAACATTGAAATGACGCTTTTGACAACGCCACAGCCGAATGTTACTGCCACAACGAGCCCTCCTGCCATAGTCAGTCTGCATCTCTCAGAGGACAAGAAGGAGAACAACTCCATTGATGTGTCCTACAGGATTGTCAGTCCCAATGAGGTGGCACTCAACCACTTTGTCCCTAGAAAGCGAGTGTCGTTTCGTGAGAAAACACAAAATAAAAGAATTCAGGAGCTTCTTGCAGAAAAAAGACGACAGGACTTCCTGCTTCAAAGACTGAAACGAAAACCCGGAGACTGATAGATTTGCTTCCCTCTATCCCTGTGGTATTTTGTGAGTATATTTTTGAAGTGCTTTCGTGGCCTCTACACACTCTCTTTGCATTTACAATTTTTAAAAAAGGAAATAAGCCCAAATCTCAGTCTTAAAAAAAGTTTTGAAGACATTTTCGCAGGGGTTTACCACATTTTGCCTTTAAAATGTACAAGATTGATAAATACCAATGTGGAGATTCAGCAGTTTAAGCTAGCTACTGGCTATGTGATGTTTTGCAGTCCTTTACAGTCGATCCCTGTGAGATCTTGGGTAAACGTAAACATCAACAGTCAGACTGTAGGATGCACATTGTTGATCTTGTTTGCAGCTGGTATTAACATGTTTTTAGTGATCCAATCTCAAGTGATCAGCTGAGTTGTATTACCATTTCTTTCTGGTATTAACATGGCTGGGTCTGATTTTGCAAAGTATGATGAAGTCCTGGATTTACATCTATTATGTTGATCCTGGAACATCTTTCCTGTTTGAAAATGTAATCCATACCAAATCCCCAACTCTTACAGTAAATTATTCCCAAAATCATTGAGGATTTATAGCTGGACACCAATGACATGAAAGCACAAAACTATGGATGTCCCAATCAGGTTTTTTTGCCCTCGAGTCAGAGTCATTTGATTTGAAGTATCTACCTATACCAAAACTCGATCCGTTACTTCAATAATACATAACAAAAATAATAAAGAAAAGCGAAGAAACAGATACAAGATGTTCCTTATTTTTTATTTAATTCACCTTATTTTAACAACTCTATTGTAACAGAGAATTTTTGTTAGGTAGCTTGAACATTCAAGTGATAAAAATGACATCAATTCTTCACTTTTTGACTTCTGTGCAACAGTAAGTATACAAAAAAATCTAGTATATAAAATATAAAAATAAAATGTAAAATAATATTTTTAAAAAATTAAGTCCTGATTTGGAAGTAACCTTCAATTCTGATCCGAGTATGAAACCATGTGATAGGGCCCAATTTCCAATCACGTGATCAGATCTGGACATCCCTACACAAAACCCTAACTATAAGCCTAAACATGAGCTGTAAATGTATCCCTTGAATCTAATTGGATCATTGTTCCATGATGAACACTGAACACAATTGCAAGAACATTTAGTGTTCATAAGTACTCAATACTTTCACATGTGAGTGGGAAAGCATGCAAGTCAACTAGAACTGTTTTGTGTGTTTCGTTACAATGCAACAAAGTATAAATACCTTGTACTTTCTCATTTATGTTGGTCCACTTTGCATTATTGTTGCTATTTTGATGCAACATTTGTTAACAGCTGTGCCATTGACCAACTAAAACTTGGACTACAGTCCGTTGAATGGCTTTTATTCGCCTATACGTTAATATGCAAAACATGTAAACTATGTTTATTACAAGGATGCGCAGCAGCACACGAACACAAAGAAATGCCAAATAACTCATATAGGTACAGTACAACTCTTAAAGATGGCTGCCTGTTAGGCAGCTGCAGGCCATCAGTGAGCATCACCTCTTTTTTGGCTCATGTTGAAGGGAGGTTGACAGATTCAGCATACAGAATTGGTGTCTGCTGCCATTGAAAGAGTGCGCTTTGATTGGCTGTTCAGCTACAAATCCGAGCGTGAAAACATAAGTGAATAAGCAAATTACACGTTTAAAGTATATACCAAGAAGCCAGCTGTTATTTTGTTACATTTCTTAAATATTTGCAAACTGAAAATGGTACGCAAGTGCTTTGTTTACAGTTTGTATGTGTAGGAGTTTCCCGTTGTGAAAGGAAAATACAGACTACTGCAGATGCATGTGACAGACACACAGAAAGTGGGTTTGTAAAGCTACATCCTCTGACACAGGTGCAGAACATATCTTCCTATTTCAGTTAGCTGTCATTCGTTTGGTGTGTTCACATGCATCTGTTTTGTCTAAACAAGACTAGATACACCACAACACAGTCGGTTTTAATCACAGCTATTTATTTGTCCCTGCTTTAGACAGAGAACTGACCATGTGTTTAGAAGAATTCACCTGCACTGCATGCTTCAAACGATGCCCAGAATGTTCAGATTCTATTACACCTTTATTTAGTGCTGTTCACTTGTGATTGGACTGATGTAAACACGTCTAAATACCAGGAGTAAACTTGGCCAGAGTCAAGGTCTAAATGGTGCTGTTGACAGCGCGTTTGAGTCACACAATTTCCCTGCTAGAACTTAATTATGAGCTGAAAATCATTGTGAATCATGCATGTCACATGAAAGACCTCAGATTTTGCTAAAATTAGTCTTAGCCAGCAAAATCAAACAGTTTGGACCGACTTATAGGAGAGTTTTTAAATGTTTTGCTGTTTGAATGCACTTAAATGAAAGATGTTGCACATGACACTATTGCGGAATGAAGAAATCCATAAATCATAAGTCACAAAATTTGTCATTTTTTTCTAACATATAAATGTTAGAAATACTTTATAAGGGAAACATCATGTTGTTATCATTGCCTCTCCATTAAAGGTTAACTGAAACTACAGAAAGCAGAATCAAATCAGCTGTTAGTTTGTCTGTTGTAACTGGTTTGTTGCTTTTACATAAGTTTTGGTTAGCTGGTGAAGCCACCGTCTTGTTTATTTCTCCAAAACCAAACCTGTTTAATTTTCATTGTCATCAGGGGAGTGATTTTTCACCATCTTGTTCACCTTGTCCAAACACATCAAGAGTGCTTGTTTAAAATGTACATTGATTTTTTTCAGTTTATCTGCTAGGTTGTCTTTTGTCAGTTTTTCAGACCAACCTGTACCTGTGTGTGGAAATATTTTGCCCTCATAAGAATCCAGATTTCATGGTTCCCAAAGATATCACAAGGGTCCACCTGAAGAACTGTAATGGTGCACTCACATTTGCTAAATTCTGACCAGTGGTAATTATTATAAGCAAGATTTTTAAAATTTTTTCAGGCATAAAATATCCACTTTATTGTCAATAACGGTGCTACATATGAAGTTCAACTCAAGTCACAAACTCTTTTTTTATTTTATGGATCTGCATGAGCAGCTTGAACATATAACAAAATCTCTGAGGGCAAATCTTTTATAACGAAACTACAGTTATTGTTCATACGAACCACCTCAAGTTTGGACACCATGAACCATATGTTGAAAAATTATAACCCTTAGGTTTCTGTTCATGTGTTAAGAAAACATTTATATTCTGCTAAATCAATAAATGTAAAAGAGCCAGATGCAGCATAATGGAATGTAAACTATATGAGCAAGATGTTGAATAAACAGCGAGATGAATTGCAGCAGTCAAATATGCCGCAGTGTTTACATGAGAGAAGAACAACACAGATGGACACGAGTGTGAACAGCCACTTATGATTGCTTGGATTTTTTATTTTTGTTTTACCCTATTGTCGATTCCTTAGCAAAACATCATCTAGTTTCCTTCTTAATAAATGCACAGATCTCATATCCCTTCGTAAATGTTGTAAATATAAACTGTAATTTTCTATTTATTGAAGCACCTGTGCACTTTTGTGTTTATCAGACCACTTTTTGTGCATGCGGCATGATTGACAATCCTACACTTATGCAAGAGGCAAGAAATCTCTTCCTCATTGTCTTAGAAACCAGTGTGAGTATTATAAGGTAAAACAAAAATGAAATATCTACATACTTGATTCAATCGATACGACTGTGGACGACGTCAACATTTTTGACTCAGCACATACTTGATTTAATAAAGTTGCAGAGCTAATGGCGTTGGTCGGTCTATACGTTTCATTCAACGTTTGAAAAGAAAGTCTGTCAAATAATTTGCCGCCAGGGAGGAACCAACCGATTTCCACAAGATGGCGATGTTTCTCTTCATCACTTTTTCCTGGTGTGACGTGAGTTGTTTTCATCTTAATCTCTCTCAATTTCTCATTCCTGGAAGGATTTATTTTGGTCCACAGGACATAGGCTACTTCGCCGTTGAGCTTCCATTTTAAAACACATAGGAAAAAAGGCTTTAATGACGACTACCAAACATTCATTGATTTAATGGATTTAAACCCTTTAAATTACATTGTGTATACTACTTAAAAAAAAAAAAAAAAAAAAAAATATATATATATATATATATATATATATAAATATATATATATATATATATATATATATATATATATATATATATTAATTTTTAGTCGTTTGTTTGATGGGGTGGTGTGGTGGCACAGTGGGTAGCGCTGTTGCCTCACCAAAAAGGTCGCTGGTTTGAGCCTTGGGTCAATTGGCATGTTTTCCCCATGTTTGCGTGGGTTTCCATGCTCCGTTTTCCCCAAAGGTATGCGCTATAGGTCAATTGTGTATGCTAAATTGGCTGTAGTGTATGTGTGGAATGAGAGTGTATGGGTGTTTCCCAGTGATGGGTTGTAGCTAGAAGGGCATCCGCTGCATTAAACATATGGTGGATGGGTTAGTGGTTCATTCCACTGTGAAAATTTGTATTTTTTTTTACCTAAATATTTGTCCTTACGCCCCTTGGAGTAGCCTAGTTTTTAAAATTAGTTTATAATTTTTCTTTTTATATAATAATAATTTTGCATATACTTCAAATGTTAGTAAATAGATTTCTGAAATGAAATTAGGATGATATATATATATATATATATATATATATATATATATATATATATGCAATGCATGAATTTTAATAAATAATAATTTAAACAAAATATTTAATGAAAAAGACAAAAATCATAGTTCATAAAACTGTATGCAAGGGTTAATCTCATACAGATTAGTTTGTTTTGCTTTATTTAGAGATGAAAAAAAGCTTTTATTTTAGGTTCTGTGTGTGTTACATTTACAGACAGCAGATGGCAGTTTAGTGAAATTGTGCTTCATGATTTTATGGTTTGTTTTGCATACTGCTCGTGGTCAAGGTCTCAAAGTTGCTGTTTTCACATTAAAGCAACCTTGTGTCATTAGACAAATGAAATGAAGGCCTGACCTAAATAGCTTGTCTTATTATTGCTGCAAAGTCAACGTGACTATAAAGGTTTAATTGCTGCTGTATATGTACCTTAGGTTTATTAGAATTCATTAATTTTCTGAAATGACTATAAATATCATAATAATAGTTTTATAAAAGTTTTATTTAACATAGGCATTAAGAGAGATAGTTTACCAAATATACAAAGTTCTGTCATCATTTACCAAAGCCTGTTTTTCTATTTTTGTGTTAATTACAAAGGTAGATATTTAGAAAAATGTTGGAAATTAGTTGTCATTTTATTTCACACTATGGCTGTCAATAGCTACAGCATATTTCCGTCCACCTATTTGAATGAACATTTAATCAAGAATATCGCACAATACAATGCTCAACGGAAATTACAAAATGAACATACATTTTGAAAACATGCATAACAAACATATAGTTTTTATCCAAGTAAAATGATGCATAAACTATACTTTATCGAACAAATTCCAGCATGAGTATCAGAGAGAAAAAAAAGTATTTTTGTTACAAAAAGATTATGTGATAACAAAAATGGGTGCCATGAGACACCATTAATAGACAAGTTAGCAGACCGACCACCTTGTAAAACATTTGTAATGTTATTATGGTCATTCTAAAATTTTCAGCCAAACTTCATCATCAGTGTGGTTTGGTATCATTACCTCTCAGAATTAACCACACTGAACTGAGCTAAACTGAACTGAACTTAAACTCTAAAAGCTTAACTGACACTGTTTTAATTTACGATCTTCTATGTGAAGCTGCTGTCTTGAGCATCTGCGTTCCTAAAAAGCAATCTCCTCCAAAAGCCACAGCGCGTTTATTGTGTTTCGTCTTCTGAGGTGCAAGTAATTTATCATGTGAAAAAAGGCCCACAGTGACTTCTCTTATATATCACACCAAATTACAATTTTCTTTTTGATATTTGTCACCAGCTTTATAGGAAGTGATGGTTTTGTTTTGGATGGAAACACTGTTTTATTTGCAAATGTTGTATGTGATTTTCCTGTTTTGCACATAAATCTAACTAGCATCTTTGAATGGCAAATTAGCTAATGATTCCAACATTCTTTAAAATATTAGTATTTTTTCTGAAGAAAGAACCATATGAGTCTGTGTAAATAGGGAGTGAACTTCCTTTTTTTTTTTTGTTAAACAAAATTTTAGATTACCAATAAAGCGTCCTTGTAATTGTGCATAACAACATGAAGGGCATCTTTAAAAAATGTCCTTTACCAAAGCTGTCACAAGTCAAATGTTTATAAATCAGTTTCCTTATAGCCTTTGCATCAGATGAATATCTATGTGGAATACACAAACATGACAAAATATACTGTATACCTTATCTGCATCTAGATAATTATAGTCTCAAAGCAAACAGTCAAATGAAAATTAAAATATCAAAAATATAAATGATGATTTATGCTTACTATAAAATCTGTATTTTTATATTTTTAACTTTAAAAAATGTGTTGACTTTTGACTATTTCATTTTAAATCCATTTTAATTACATTTAAAAATAGCAATGCCATTTACAATTCAATTTATTTCAATGTTTCATATTTTAGTTCCCATTTTGTATATATTACTGAAACTTAGAAGTTGTTTTATCACAAAAAAAACACACATACTCTTAAGAAATGTGTCTATTCTAGTGACTGTGCTTGTGTTTATACTGTAACGTCTATTGAAGCAAGCATTGAAAAAATATGAACATTTGAAGCAAATCTAAATAATTATCATCACGAGTGAAGGATTTGGTGTTTAGTGATCAGTGAAACATAGTATGAACAAAAAAATGTGCTTATTAATATTTAGTGTCGCCTATAGTAAAAATATCAGACAGACTACCAATAGTTTTTTTTTTGGTACCTATAAAATTAATTTAAATGATAATATATACATGCAGCTTTGTTTCTTTTAAACTGTATGTTTCATAATGATTTGTAAGTATGAAAAAAATGTTTCACGACATATAAAAAAAAATATTGAGTGACCAAAAGTAAAGTAAAAATATCATACAGGATATGACCCCTGGTGCACTGTTCAAATGGACTACCTTTTTATGTTCGGGATAAAAACATCTACTGAAATAAACTGCTGTAAAAATGCATCAGAAATAATAAATAATAATAATAAATCTGTTAATTAACCTCAGTCCTGATCAAAACTACTACATTGTTTAGAAAATGAACAGGATTTTGACTCTTTAATTGCCAAGTTCGCTAAAGATGTCACTGATTTGGTGAAAAATCAGTGACATCTGATGTTTTTTTATACCTTTATAACAGTCTTAGACATGTGAACGATTAGTAACAACATTGGCTTTGATGTATTGTTAGATTTAATTTTTTTCTCCCTAATTTACTGTTGGTGACTGTTTTTGCCCCATTGACTTTCATAATGACCACATTTGATTGTGCATAAACACACAGTCTTTGTTTTTGTTTACTCCATGTAGTTTTGAGAGCTAAGATGCATATTTAAATTTTCTTAGACACATCGAGATAAGTGTATAAATGTCACTCTCACACACTCACAGACACGCATACACACAATTTAATTTGCTCTTGTACTTCATATAAAATCCAAAAACTAAGCTTTTTTTTTTTTTTGCACAGGACTCAAGGTTTAATGGTGCTAACTGACGATCAACAGTTAAAATTACCAATATTACCTCGAAATTTTAATCAACAAGGAAAACCACCAACAATTAAAAATGCATGATTATATGATGTCATGGTTTTGTAATAAAGAAATGTGCTTATAATGGATGTCAACAGGGCAAAAACAGCCACCAACAGTAAATTAGGGGAAAAAATGAAAAGCAATCAAAAACAATGCATCAAAGACAACTTTGTTTCACATGTTCAAGACTTTGATAAAAAAAAAAAAAATCCAGTCCAAAATAACTTTTTATATTGAAAATTATTTTTTGTGTGTTTTCCACCAAATCAGTGACATCATTTATGAATTTGGCAATTAAAGAGATCAATTTTCTAAGCAATTTAGTAGTTTTGATCAGGACTGAGGTTGATTAACAGATTTCTGCAAAAAACAATTGATAAAAATATTTATCAGATGCATTTTTACAGCAGTTTAATTTAGTGGATGCTTTCATCCACAACATAAAAAAGGGTTGTAAATTTGCCCAGAGTGTATTCTTGAGTTTTGTTTTTAATTTCAAAACATTTTCTCTAAATATGTGTCAACATAAGATTTGTCCCCAAAAACCTTTCTGCTAGCTGAAACAGAGAACGTTATGGCCAAAACAAGACACAAAGTGTCCCCTAGAGTGGATGAAAACATTCCCAACAGCACATAGGGGCTAAAAAGGTCTTTCAGTATTTAAGGAAAATAAATCTTAAGGATAAAATCCTTTCTATGTATGATTCATAATAACTTTCAAATATGACTAAGAAGTGTTAATTGTGTTTTGTTAGCAATTTTCTTATCAGCACAGAGAACACCACCAGGAATGTTCTGTCTTGCTTCTCACTCTCACACAGTATGTGCAGGACATTTACAACAAACAAATCCATCGTGTCATCCCATCAATATTTCATGTCCATATTTCTTAGCACAGAGAGAAGCACTGAAACTTTAATGGTCGCTCCGTTGCGTGTCCTGCGCTGCTGAAGTTGACTTTGTCTTAAAAATACCTGAATAATTCAGCAGAGCAGTGAATTACAAAAAAAAAATGCTTTGAAACCTTGGGGCCTTGTTATCTCTCCCTTCAACCAAC